ATAAAATAATAGTTCAATAATAGCGCAGTATTCAGAAAAGCGACCAGTGTTAAATATTCCCCTAAAAAGATTACAAAGACTGCACTGGCAATATTGTCTGACGCTTTACATGTAATCAAGATTACATATTTACCCTCTTGCAGATACATTGGTAATGGAGACTTACCGGACAACCCTTAACTTGTGTTGAAAGTCTGATATTCACAAACACTATCCAAATGAAAATACATAGTAAATACGAAATTTATATATTACCATTCTGTGAATTTACGAGTGACTTTCAATAAGTATAGTTTCTACACTTTATGATAATCGTCTTTACAACAGTTTACAATCTTGCACGACCTTATCAGGGGGCTTGTTCATCTCTCATTACATACCAGATTTGTTCTCACATGACATGCATGATTTAAGCATAGGTTTATCGATGTGACACATCACTATATCTTCATCCGTTTGGTTTTCCATGTCCATATTTAACATATCCAGCATATATGTTGAACAGACTCTGAAAAAATTATAGATGCATTCATCTTTGCTGACGTTGTTTGTACAATGTTTAACAGGTTACATATGTCGAACCTGACTATGGTAAGGTTAGGGATAAAAATCTAGACACGTGAAGATCCGGTTCAGAATTGGTCAAGCTTGTCGCTAGAGGCGACTAACGGGATCGGGTGGTCAAGCCTCGCTGACTTGGTTGACACTTGACATCGTATCCCTATTGCGTAGATCGAAGTCCCGATGCTGATCACTGGATGGTCTGGTCCAGACTCGATTTTTTACAGATTGCCGTCATATTGCTTGAACATTGCTGAGTGAAGCTTTATACAACCAAAAAAAAGCAAAACTACTATAAATCTTGGAATTTTTCTTTTACTTTTCATTGTTTCTACTCTTTTGAACATTGTTTTCATGTAGCTCTGCCAGAAGTATTTACACGGTTAATACAAAATAACCCAACCAGTACTGTATTGATTCATGCGTTGTTTACGTGTTTATGTTTATGGTATGTATTTTCATCTCAAAGTTAATTGCCAAACGCACAAGCGTATTCAAATCACCAAATTTATATAGGGTATACATAGGGAGAGAGAGCTGTGGACTTTCGGTTGACAATTGTTCTATGTTATAGATAAGAGTGAGTTAGTTAAAATTATAGGCACACCGGCAATGTTACAGCCATGTTGTGACTAAAACAATTCCTTTATTGATAATACATAAAATTATATTATAAACTCTGTCGACAATGGACAGTAAAAAATGACTAGATAATCACAGACAGAGAATTAAAACTAGCGTGGAACTTTACAATGAAACCTCTACATACTAAACATTATACAACACGCAATAGACCGCCAACAACTGAAGGTAGATTACCATACTAGGGATTTACTACTACCGGATTTACACATCCCTTCAGCCGCTGGCGATTGCAGGAAACGTTTGCTATAACATAAAATCACAAAACAATACTGCGTTTAAATTTCCTTTGAAAGTTACGTACCCTCTCAGGAGGACAATCATTTTACAATACTTTAACGACCTTTAAGGGTACAGCCACTAACGATCTACATTACTCATTTAAACGTCCAATCATTAAAATACATCTACCTACAAAACATATCAATCAAAATTTATCAATGAAGTCTATTTCTTTTAAAATATACACAGAGAACTTAATTAAACACCCCCTTTATTTTTGCAATGATAGGTTTTCAACACCTCCATAAGACTTCTCAAGGTGACCACGATGGAGTATTTCTGACCCGTATGATCCTTTGACTCATACAGAAATGAGACATGTAGATTTTATGATGATAATTTCTCATTTAAAAACTATTTAAATGATTTTCATACAAAACCATATCTGTACAAGTATGGCCCTGGAATGTTTAATGTTCAATTTGTTGGTGAATGGGAACATTCAAAATGTCATTTTGCGTGTATTAAACGATTCAAGAACAATACCGTGTGTAACCTCCATGTGACTGCATACCCTCTGTCAGCCTCCTAATCCTCTGAAGGGGCAGTCTACGCCCTTCCTTGTGTAAAACAGCTTCCAATTGGGCCAGCTTCTGTACAAGAGGATTTCTTTGTGGCACACGACGAACAGTCATGTCCCACATATGCTCTAACTGTAAAGATCGGAGCTCCTTCGATCGTGAAATATGTCAGTGGGTGCTTAACTAAGTTCTTGTATATATATATATAAGAAAAGAGCTTGGCTTATATAGTACTTTTCATTTGTTGATCCCATCCGCGTGCATCCACTGCAGGTATGAATTACCTGCGACATTCATTCACAGTTGAACCTCCTATTGGAATACCGACATTATAATACGTTTTTCGTGAACACCCCATGCCTACACTGATTTTCAGTGATTTATACAGTATTTGCATGTTTGTTTATTTTTTACTCAGTGGAACCTTGTTAGGTAATCGACACTTCGTTTCTTGCAGTTGCTGTTTTTGCCAAAAGACTCACGTAACCTCAGACAACTCAGGTATGAATGGACCCGTGAAGATCCGGGTTAGAATTGATAATCAGTAACCCATGCTTGTCGTAAGAGGCGACTAACAGGATCGGGTGGCTGACTTGGTTGACACGTGTCATTGTGTCCCAATTGCGTATATCGATGCTCATGCTGTTGATCACTGGATTGCCTGGTCCAAGCATCATTATTTAAAGACCGCCGTCATATAGCTTGAATACTGTTGAGTGCGGCGTAATGCTAAACTCATTCACTCAGGTGACATGACTGTGTCTTATCGAGATGTGTCTAATGTTATATTATGATTGCAAATGATCACTGCTTGTATAGTTTTCTCCATGCGAGTCCTAAGGAATGTGTGTGTACCCACCGCGTTCCTATTTTTGATCATATGGAGGCATTACTAGAATTCATGTCTTTTAAGTAGAAGGATCTTGGTATGAAATATACCTGAGACTTCACCCTAATGTCCGTTTCCTTTTGTGTGAAGATCAAGCACAGGGGTGCGGGTTGGTTTATCTAACTTGGTTCTTACACGAGCCAACAGTCAGACACAGAAAGCTTAGTGATAATACGTTGGTTTTTAAATTGTAACGTAATTATAACATTAAAAATCAGTGTTGTTGGTGAACAGTTCCAGAAAGCATACAGCGAAGCGTAAATAACGCAACGGCCCAATCTTAAATCTCCGTGATGTCAATGTCTTCTTGTGAATTTAAAAGGTTGTTTAACATGAGCCTTCAGCGCCATGGTTATCAAAACTAGCAAGTCGACAAGACCAGCCTTAGGCGACAAATGAGAGACTCTGAAACCTTGCTCACTGTGTTTCCTTGCCGTAGTTACACTTCCAACTAATTACGGATGCTTATCTGCAAATGTTCTTACTACGACATTTATAATGGTGTGTGCATCATTTCATTCGTCAGTGTGAACGTCATTTGGACAATACTTTCAGAAATTTGAACTGGGTGTACATAGAGGAATCAACGTGGGACATTGAATCATTCAATAAACTTGTCATGGCGTTGCAGGATATACATTATTTGGTTTCGTGAGGATGCATTATGTCCTAAAGATCTTGTAGATACGCACCCTTTCTGGACTATATTATTTAATGTCTGACTATTATACACCCACCGTGTATTGCTTTCATCATGAGGTAGGTCAATACTGACCAGTTCCTTTATTCATAGCACGACAACATACTAGACTTATCGACGTTGCTTTTTGGACCTGTGTTCAACATTTGGAGTGATTCTAGTAATCAGATAATGCTTCAGATTCACTCATTGTCTATAAACGCTGGTGTGAATTTGTTTGGTGTTGATGTGATATCAAAGCCATTCGTGGCCAAGTTAAACATAAACGTCATTAGGGGGAAGCACGAAATGTGTAACGTTATCGATCGTTCCTGTCGCCATAGTGACACGTGTTAACATATTCATTTCATTTCAACGAGATCGCATTGAAGAACATCATTAATGTATCTGTTCCACATTATATGATGTAGTCATATAGTTATCATTTATGAACACTATACCTGCATCGTATATATGGCTGAACCAGCATAACCTATCTCCTAATAGCTAAATGTCAACTAAGATCGAATGCAAATACAGTTCACTAAATTCTTTCTGACCCAGCCTAAGCAGAAATAGTAATAAAGTGTGTGTAAGTACTATTAACCTATATGATTCAGGGAAATGTTTTGACATGAATGACGGTTCATCATATTGATGTGAGGTGAGATGAAATATTGATGTGCGGCTGCTTGTACTAGACCAGACTGAATCTGGTTTTATAGTGCTAGCCCACTGACATACCAAGCCGCAGTGAAGCATGATTACCCCACTCAGACACATTATACTGACTCCGAGCCGACAAGTCCTTGTTGTACCCATTAATGCCGAGCGCCAGGCAGGGACCAACAAGTACCATATTTTAACGTCTTTTGGTATGACGCAGTCGGGGATCCAACCCGCGACCTTCCGCTCTCTGGGCGGACGCTCTAACCACTACACCACGGAGGCGGTCTTCATTTTGATGTGTATTCAGGTCTTGCAAAAGGGACTGTGAATGGGGGCAATGTATATTGGATATGAATAACATCATTCTACAATGAAAACGTTCCTCTCAAAAGGATGTGACATACACATTTCATTTAATACCTAACGAACAGTTGCACTTTTGACAAAGTATGGCTTCTTTGTAGGACACCTCCCGAGCAAACAAAACAGGACTGTGTTGTTGTTTTTATCTTTATGTTGCTGTTTACAAGACCAACAGCATCAGCGGAAATTGATGTTTTCCTGCATTGTTGCATTTTAAGATGTTAAGAAATTCTTGTGAAGCTGCGTACATCCTCTGTAGACTTACACAAAAAGTGTCTTCACGCATGATACGACTCCATGCAGGGAGACTGGATCCTGTGACTGTAGCTGCTATTGTGGCAGAGGAATGGCAAATGTTCAAGACTGACGGAGTTTGGTTTTACGCCGCTTTTAGCAATATTCCAGCAACATCACGGCGGGGAACACCAGAAATGGCTTCACTCATTGTACCCATGTGGGCAAATGTTCAAGAAATTAGTAAGAACGTTAACATTCATAATGAACTTTGATCATCCTTTTTAGTCAAAAACTCATCTGCATTTACGGAAAAACCTCAACCAGTCCTGAAAAACATAAAATGACTGTACAGCTTGTAACAACTAATCATACTGTGAACACGAAAATAGGAATGTCGTGAATGACTTATTAAGACAACACATAAGGACAAATCACAGGCTTTCTCACGATTATGACAATTTATTATTTATGTTAACAAATTAATAACTTTTGTGACACTCCTTTTGATATGTAAAAAAAATCGCTTTGACTATCAAAAAGTATATCAATCATCGATAACAGACCCATCAAAATATTTCAAGTTATATTGCTCCGCCAAAGTACTGGAAACAATCAAAATTGTCCTCTGCTTCTAAATTTACTATAAAAGTATATTTAACTACTTAAAATTGTGTTTCATTAGTCATAGACAACAGTTTACTTCAGTGCTAAATAGGTTTGCCTTCGCCGCCATATTTCCATTTCCTGAAGATCGTGACAATGAGAAAGAGGAAGAACTCTCCGAGTTCTGTGAGTGTTAGGATACTGGCTCCCAGACAGATGCCCATCTGACCTCCCAGGTTACCTGGCAAGAAAGAATATATATACCCGTTAGGAGCTGTCCTTTTTAGTGTGTTTTGTGGAAATTAACAAAGCAGTTGGAGGGCTTCCGGAAAGAATGGATGTACACATCATCCACGTAGGAACATATTATCCACGTGCCAATTTATATCTATGTGAATCTCTACAGCCAATCTGAAATCAGCTTGTCATGACAAACGTTGCACTCTCCGTGACGATGACAATAGTCAAAAACTTCATAAGGTTTATTGAAAGTTCTAAATATGAATCTGTTACTCACCTATTATGGTCTCAGTTGTGTACTGTGGAGTTTGCAATGTTGATTGGATGATCAGGTTGTCATAGAACATCCGTATTTCGAGAAGGTTGTCCCTGAAAATATGCACTGTGTATTGTATTATTACAAGTACAGCGACAGGAAGACAAAGTACAGTCACCATAGTGCAATTCCGTTATTGATATTAATTAGTTGTATATGCCAAACACGGTTTCACAATACAATGCATGTACTTATGCACGCAGCACATGACTGCTTTGGGAATCAAAGGGAAAGTTAATTCGACATAACAATCATATTTTAAGATGAGCATGTCTTGACAAACGAAACTGAAACTGAAAACTATCAGGTCATTCCTTCAGGGCCACGACATCTCCGGTTACAGGTTTTTTACATTAGGATACGCAGAGATACCTGATAAATGCCTCATCTGGTGCATGCCCATGCTTCAGGATGAGCGCCACTGACACGTCGGATGGGTATCTCGATGTGGATAGTTTGACATCGTACGTCTCGAATGAACATGGCACTTGACAGCCGCAAGATTTCTGAATCGTCGCATTTTGCCTGAGAGTTACTAAACAACAGTATATAATTTACAAAGGAGTAATTAGTAGTTGAATCACATATAGTAGCATTTGAATGGAAAAGATTTGAATACCCCAAATTGCCATTGTTACTGTTTTTCATGTACATGTCTCTGATGACACTTTTGTTTTAGTTCAAATGCGGATTTTGTTCTCAGTACCAAACAGGCCGGTTGAAAACAAAGTTAGACCTGACTGGGTATATAACTTTTCTGGATTTTTGAGAAGTGCTATAACACGAATATATTTGAATGTTCTTGCGCCGAAAAACAAAACACGTATTCATAAATTCACATAGCAGCAGAATGAACTCACCATATTCTGGAATGTAGCAGACTGTTAAGTTATAAAGGGAACAAATGTGTCCAATACTTGCTGAAAATGGAAGCATAATAGTTACAAAAATGGGTATTTTGAAAAGAAAATGAGAAATGTAATTTTATACAAAATAATGTCTGAACATGTTGTTCCGGTTCCCCTATATGAGTCTATGGGAATAATGACGCATTTTCTACGAAGGGGCAAAATTATAACAGGATTTCAGCGAACACATGATCACCTCACTATCACTTCAGATTCAAGAGTCTTTGTAAATGCAGAATTTGTTCAATCCAGTTTGGTTGATGAGGCATTGCTGAATAAATCAGACTGACCAGCAGTCCGAACGTGACCAGACAGAAGGGACGAGCTACAAGAATTAGCTTTTCATGAGATTAATTGTCTGATAATAGTTTCTTATAAAATTACATTTCCCAATTGATGTCATGGCAACGAACACGCAATTATTACAATTAACATGCAGTTGAGGTTTCGTCAGTTAAGCGTACGTATTGACCACTCACTCAGCTGTTATGTAGACAAGATCATTCTATAAACAGTAGCTAAATAATTAGCCATTCTGTTCCAGTAAGTGTCACTTGATGCTACATCTTACCGTTATCTGCTGGCTGAATGCAACCGCAACGGTCGTGACTTAACTTTGTGATGCATTCCTGAAGACAGTTTTCATATGTGTAGGTGTCGAAATATTGCAGTGTGTTGTTAAATGAGGGTGATAAAGTGTCCAAGCATGTCCGGTTCTTGAAGGCCTGATAGGGTGGTGGCAGGTACTCGTACTGATACAAACAACTTCATAAATAACATGCATCTTATTTTGTCCAAACAATTGTGTTATTTACACAAGACTGTTGTTGGTAGTTTTCATGGCTTATATAATAATTATGATCTTTCTGTGATACATGTACCTTTATCTTACCTTCATGTAAGGTACTTTAATTTCATTGGTCAATGACGCTTTAACAAGTTTCCGTGTCACCCTTCCCAGGAAGGTGACAAATGGAAACAATGTAACCCACTGCCAAAGTAACGGCCAAACTTTCCGCCGAGAAGCTGCATCGCTAACAATCGTATTCCGCACGGAATTCGAAATCCGTTCTGATTATCTGTGTTTTGAGTTCACTATGTACGCATTTATTTTACCGACTTTCACTGCTTTATTTAAACTATTTTATACATTGAGTCGTTTGCAGACTTAACGTAAACATAATAAACCATTTTTATTGCAGTTTTAAGCTTGTCAGAATATGTTTAACTGATTAAAAATATCTAGTCGAGAGGCAGACGCCATCTTGTTTACATGTCATATAGTAGGTAATAATATAAAATAAAATGATATTTTGTGCATTGAACATGGCGGTAAGATAAATACGTTGTATGCTTCTCCCTCGGGTAATACGATCTGATATACGCCTTCTTGTAGCAGTGTCATCCCTCGCCTACTGGCTCGGGTGACACTGCTACAAAGAGGCAAACATCGGACCGTATTACCCTCGAGAGAAGCATACAACTTGTAGTAGTTCTATACATGTATCTCGTCTTTAAGTGCTACTGCAATTTGAAACCGGTAATGATGACAACTGTCAGGACGTAAAAATATATATCTAATTGATAGCGTTGTCAGTATGATTTAAATTCATATTGCATTGCGCACAAACTTTTGAGGTACTGCACTCTTTGTGTTAAAAAGCATCTGTATGAACAACCATATTTCAGCAATATTAATTCTACATACAGCAGAAAAAGACATAAAACGAACGGAGGTGAAAAAACATACACCGACTACATGCCATATCAACTCCTCATTATTGGTATGGAAAATACAAAATGGCACCTGGAGACATATTTACAAAAGTTGAAAGTTCCAGGATGACAGAGTGCTTTAGCAGAGATACCATGTAAGTGTGCATGTAAGTGACTTACCGTTGATCTGCGAACAGAAGCGTATGTTGATGTTCCTGGAGCTGCCAGGAAGGAAGATGTCGCCAAGATCTGGGTGTACACGAGGGTCGTGTAAAATTACCTGTAGTCAGTGAAACAGCAATATTTATTTAGTCAGTGATATATACGTGTGTCACTTCACCATGAAATCACAACTGGAACAAAATGTGTTCGAACTGAACATGAGCAATTACTTCCCTCAGTAAATATATCTGTCGTGTTATGATGAACACATAAAGCACCATCTATACACCACATGTACAATTTACACTTGACAACTGTTTAACTGCTCAAACCACAGTAGTGAGTGAGTGAGTTCAGATCTGCACATGGCGGTAAGATATCGGCATTATTTCAGCCATATCGTGACAAATACAAAGACAAACCACAGTAATGATTTTCCATGACAGGTAAGAATACACAATGGCAGGTACATCGAGTATTACTGCAAATGTACATTTCAAGAAGGAGGACGTAAATGCAAGCATTCGATTTATAGGTGTATTTTGTAAATAGTCTTCCTATTTCTATACTTGCAATACAGTTTACTATGTATTACTTTGTTTTGCATACCTTCATCCCAGCAGCCACTTGAGACCCAATAACATAGTTGGCCTGATCAATATTGACATCCATGATAAGATTGAAGTCTGATCCAGTAAGTCGAACTTTAGCAACATCAGAAGCATTCCAGTTGAAGGTGGCACAGTTACCCATGGTAGTGAAAACAGGTTTCATTGCAGCGGTGCAGGGTTGATATCCAACACCATTCATCGAACAACTATAAAACATATGTTTTGGAGTCATGGTAATATTTTCCCACCAGTCCTGTTTGTGATTCTTCCGAAATGTAGACCCGTAGCCAGGGTCACTCCAATTTAGATTTCCCGCCATGTATCCTAGCAGGCTGATCTTTGTGAAATACTCCTCCAGATAAGGATCGACTGCTTTAATCTTGGTTAGATTAAACGGACTCAGATTGCAGAAGGTGACGGCAGGAAAAGGCAGCTCCTCGAGGACTTCCACCTTCGTGTTAGTTATCACTGGGTATCTGTAGTAATTCATCAGCTCCTTTGTGATGTTGTAGGTCATGTATGCTGTCATCGCCAAAACTGCGACAGTCCATGAAAAGCTAACAAAACAATTCTATAACAATCTAGATGCATACTTCCCTGAAGAGAAATGAGGTTCTGTTTTTTTTGGGGGTTGTTTTTCATTTAAGAGTAATAAGCCAGTAACTGTATTAACCCATTCAAGACGTAATGAGTCCCTAGACACATGAGGCCTGTTAACCGTCTAGGCAGTAGTCACATCACAATGATGTATAATTTTAGGAACCTATGCTACATGAGATATTATTCATTTATTAAATCCATCACCGTTGACTGAAAACACATTTCAAATGACCATATATTATTGACAGAATTATATAATTATAACCTATTTTTCACAATGTTAGTTTAAAAATCAACAACGATTCTCGGACATATGCTAAGGCAACAGGCCCCCCATCAAAATTGTAGATGCATACTTCCCTGACGAGAAGTGCGATTCTGTTGGGTACTTTTTCATTTAAGAGTAATAGGCTTGTGATTGTATTAACCCATTCAACACCGCAGGCCGATAAAATAGCCAAGACGTAATAAGTCCCGAGACACCTGAGGCCTGTTAACCGGCCAGGCAGTAGTCACATCAAAATGATCTATAATTTTAGGAACCTACCTGAGATATTATTCATTTATTTAAGCTATCACTTTTGATTGAAAACACTTATTACATTTCAAATGACCATATATTATAGACAGAATTATCTAACATTATAAATTGTTTTTCACAATGTTATTAAAAAAAACCGATTCTCGGACATATGCTTAGGTAATGGGTCGCCATCAAAATTGTCAAAGAACAAAGCACCAATCTTTCGAGAAAAGAATTAAATGATTGAATACACTAATGAATACAATCAACAACAGTACTCATAAAGTTGTCAAATATATACATCTAAGTTATTTTTTCCATCTTTTCGTGCAGTTTAATGTCAGTCCCTTGACATCTCGGCTTTCCCGGTCGCCTCGATCTTCACGCCCGGACAAGATGTTTAATGCGTAAATATATTATGCAGGAAGCATTTTTTGTCGAATGTCGTAATCTAGCACGATACCTACACTACAATCCATAATTTAAGTATATATGATGATTTCTTGCTTAACTTGTTCAGAATGGCCTTTTGCCCAAAAGCTTTCGTATCCATTGCTGTAATTTGATTGGCAGCACTAGGTCACGTGCATTATTTTGACCAATCACGATCCTTATAACAGACATTAGCAAAAGAAAGCGGCATTAGAAACCGACCATACCTGTTATTTAAGACATCTTTTAAAAAAAATGCGATAACGTAAAAATGAAAATATTAAAGGAAAAAGGTAAGTGGATATTGTGAATCGGCACAAATGGAAAAATAAAATATTAAAATATTCCTTCTTGGTTTATCTGGACATTAAATATGTTCAAGCTTGCATCTTCATTAAAAATGATCTGATTTAAGTTGTTGTTGTATTATTTGAATAATATGATAAAATAACTTGCATACTTATCAACAGTAGGATTACACCTTTCAGAAGGTGTATGACATGTAGTAGCAATAATTTTGTACCAGCTGAAATTTTCCATGATAAACGCAGGTTGCATCTATGACCTCAGAGTCTCAGGAAACGCGGTGTCATGGCAGTAAAAGCGTCTGGTTGACTGGTGTTGAAAGAGTTAAACTTGCAAGGGACTTGCTTATTCACTCATACAGTTGGGCGGTGGGGTAGCCTAGTGGTTAAAGTGTTCGCTCGTCATGTCGGAGACCCGGGTTCGATTCCCCACATGGGTACAATGTGTAAAGCCCATTTTCTGGTGTCCCCCTCCGTGGTATTGCTGGAATATGGATAAAAGGGGCATAAAACTTGACTCACTGACTTACTCATACAATAGGACTGTTATTACACAGGTTGTTAGTTTAAGAGTGAGTGAGTGAGTTTAGTCATACGCCGCACTCAGACATATTCCAGCTATATGGCGGCGGTCTGTAAATAATCGAGTCTGGACCAGACAATCCAGTGATCAGCATCATGAGCATTGATCTACGCAATTGGTAACCGATGACATGTGTCAACCAAGTCAGCGAGCCTGACCATCCGATCCCGTTAGTCGCCTCTTACGACAAGCATGGGTTACTGAAGATCAATTCTAACCCGGATCTTTACGGGTCTGTTAGGTTAAGAACAAACAATAATAAGGTATTATGTGGTAACAGAAATTAGACATCCCAAAGGTATCATGGTTAGGATAAAAATGTTAGGAACACCTATTCCTATGGCAATGTGTGCATACACAACTTACATGCGTACACTGCTATATTTCAGTCATTGAGGCACAAGTATACTTCAATTGTTTTCGAACGAGTAGTTCCTTACATCTTGCCATCCCTCAGCAGTACATATTTACACATGAGCATTCATTAAGCACCACCTGAATCTAAAGGTATGATTTGTTTTGTGAAATGTTGATCAAACAGTCAATGATATACTAGCATGCGTATGTGCATGCGCTTCAAACATCACCCAGAAAGATACGTTTATATGCTGCAAAGCCGACAAGCACATAAATTGTATAAATTGTATGATATAATTGAGTGAGTGAGTTAATATTTAACGTCACATCGGCAATATCTCAGCCATATCGTGACGAGAACATATTTGACATTGAAATAGAATATATGTATATCATAAAAACCTGTCTACGAAGGACAGTAAAACAACTAGAATATCACAATTACAACTAAAACTAGTGTGGAAAGTTAAAACTCAATAGCACTATGTGGACAATACAATATAAAAACTGGCTATAGAACGCCAACAACTGAAGGTAGATCACCAAATTAGGGACCATGGGGATGAAATTGAAAAGATAACATTTTCATAATAAAACAGAGACATGCACGATGGCACGCTATTGGTATACATGCCGCAGGGATGTCCTGTCCCAACATCAGTGACATCTTTAACATTAACTAGACGGTTATTAGTTGACTTGTGAAGAGGAACGTGGCCACCAGTAAAGCAAAATATCGTCCAAGGCCTGGAAGACATAAGGAGACCAACGATCGGGATGGTGAAGGACCCGTGTAGATCGGGGTTAGAATCGACCTTCAGTTACCCATGCTTGTTGCAAGAGGCGACTAACGGGATCAGGTGGTCCGGTTGGCTGACTTGCTTGACACATGTCATCGGTTACCAATTGCTTAGATCACCGTGTCACCGTATCCAAGTTGTATAGATGGATGATCATGCTGTTGATCGCTGGACTGTCTAGTCCAGACTCGATTATTTACAGACCGCCGCCATATAGCTGGAATATTGCTGAGTGCAAATTCACTTAGTCATTACTTGAGAATTGTGTGGCAATCCTGTTGGTGGCGTAGTCATGGCGACCATACTGCCCGGCATTGTTCATGTTCACGTTTTTGTGTATGTTGTGTGTTGTGTAAAATATTGCAAGTAATTTATAAATGGTTACCAAGTTCAGTTTCAGTACAGTTAACATTTCAATATTCCGCCCGGAACGGAAGGTCGCGGGTTTCAATACGCGTAATTGGCATTTTAAAGGCATCAACATGTTATGCATTTTGGTAGATATAAAACCAGCTTCAGTCTGGGCTAGTACAAGCAGCCGCACATACACAAAAACGCATGCACGGCTGGTGCACGATTAATGCTCACCCAGATATATGATAAATGGGCTGGTGTTTGATTGATGCTCATGTGTACAATAATGTTTAGCTGTATTGCACTGTAACCATGACAACTGCAGTAACATGCAGCAATAGGTTAACATCAACAGGCATGGTATGAACAATATCTTAAAAGTTGTTGAACATAGTTACACGCTGATGGACTGGCTGATCCACGTGGCTCTACTATGCAGTTCCACATAGGTCGGTACATAGGGAGTTCAGGTGAAGAGATATTAATAATGCACCAGCATTATCTGTGCATCTGTGGATGCATTGTGGAAACACAAGGGACACGGAAGTAGAAATAGCTCCAAGACGAAATTCAGTTTGAATATGTGGGTGTTGTGTACTCACCCTCGTCAACATTTGATGCATGATGTTCCAATATTGTGTAAATATTTTGTGAAAATGAAATATTACGTATATTAAGTTTGAGTAGTCTGAGAAAATAAATACCAAATTAAACTACGAAATACATAAGATTTGGGTCAAATCTCACTTTCTGATAAATACATACAGAGACCACTGCAATGGTCACGCAATCAGACAATTACTGTGTAATCTTCAACTCACCATCTAATCTTGTAGCTTCGTCCGGGGGTGAGTTTATTCACTCCGTGGAATCCTGTGTTCTGGGTAAAATCAGTCCACAAACTACCTATTTTCTCCTCAGTGCATGTCGGTTCATCTGTCCTTGCAGCTGTTGCTTCAGTTTTAGACGCCATTGCACAACAACATATCGTGCTGACATTCCCTAACCCAACCTTTGCAGACTGATTGGTCTCACACATTTGATTTCAGCAAACTGCACAGAAAATCGACCCTGTTCTGATCAAACAATATCCTAATACACTGTAATTGCATCGATCGCTTTATGTGTAGGTTGATGCCTGTGTTTCAATAATGGCACTGATGAATCGTTGGCTATTCCACATTGTCATTGCATTTGATGTAATCAATCATGTGTATCCTACAAAATACTCTGTTATTACTGATTGCCGGAATGTGCTTTCCGTCACATGTTCCACCACAAGTGGTTCATTATTTATGAAATATTTAAAATATGTTCAAATCGTGTAATATTTATGAGGCCTTTTGGTAATGCTGAATATATTTACACAATTAAACGAGACTGACCTGTAAGGTGCAGTCTGATAGAAATTCCGTGAACCATCTTTCTGACTTCGGTGTTACATGAGAGAGACGCGCATGCATACTAGTGGGTCTTGAGTGGCAAAAATGTTTGTATCAACAACCTGGGCTTGGGTGGTGGCAGTTCAGAAATTTGGTTTAAAAAAGTTAATGGCTGTATTAATGGTATCCATTTTTAACTTGATCTTGTCCACGTGCGTTCAGCATAGTGGAATCCGGATACCGCCCTGTATTTGTCTCCCTATAGAAAATTGTTGATACGAACTGATCATCACAGGAGCATGTCAATGATGGCTTTCCATTTGTTCACTTTTGCTAAAATTCAGTCCTTTCAGGATGTCGGGGCTGAAATATTGCTGAGTGCGGCGTAAAACTAAACTCACTCATTTACTATAACCTTCACTGACAATGTCTAGTATATACTGGTCAGAAGTATGTGCTGCCCATTGCGGCAAACACAAGCTTGTTCCACCCACCATATATTTATCAACAATGTGAATAGAATTGAAATTGTGTTTTCTCACCTCTACATCCTTAAAAATAGCTTGACTGAGATCAGTCTAAAACTTGCTCTGATGTTGGTATCCTTTCTTTTTCTTGAATGGAGGTGGCTGGCTTTGTAGTTAAAAAACCCCGATCCATTTTAGCGTATGTCGCCCGTCCCCCGATGTGGTCTCCATAACGACGGACCCAATCCTCTGGCAGAGTTTCCCAGGTAGAGTTTTACTTCCGATAGTTCTTTTGGTCCTCCCTAAACAACAGATCTGTGACTGGGTTTGCGTGATCACACAAGTCACACTTAGGGCCTGGTGAAATTTGTCTTTCCTATAATTTGTTAGCTCTACAACGGCATATGTTTTTTGGTGAATCCGACGCTGTTTAGCCAAACTAGACATTGTTGGTTTTGTCTTTTGAAGCTGCCATAATTTCATTTGTCAGCTCTGACATCGGACAACTTGGCTTTGACAAGAGACCTTGAAGTTTCTGTAGTTTGACGTGTTTATGGTTTAACTTCACGCCACATTGGCGTATTAACTCTAGGCACCGCCCGACTATGGCAATTTTCGGGTTTTCGAAATTTCTCTCCCCGTGGTTTCCAGAGCATCTTAATTTGGTTCCGCGCGAAGCCCTTCATTAATTGCTGTGCCCGGCTCAGGTAATACCGAACAGAGGTTCGAAGACAACTGATCATATTCCTACGTTCATGTCATGGAATGTTTGTGGACTGTATAATAAACTAGTTGACAGTGACTTTGTAAAGTTTTGTAAAAAATACCATGTGTTCGGTTTTGTCGAGGTATGGAACAACTGCTTCAGAATCAAAGTGATATTGGAAAGACTTTTCCTGACCACAAAGTTTTAACAAATTATAGAAGTTTCAATAAGAAAGGCGGTGTAGTATTGTGTGTTGATTATGCATTTATTTCAGGTATTAAGAATTATTTTTTAGAATTTGAGATTGTATATTTGTCTTAATGGACAGAGGTGTATTGGGTACTTCACATGATATCCTGTTAGGATTTATATACATACACCCCATAAACTCTTCTCTTAAAAGTGATACCAGACCAGAAAAGGTCTTTGACTATCTAGAATCGTGTCTCACAAGCATTCTCTGTGATGAAGCCTCGGGTGATGATGTGTTAACTGTGATTATAGGAGGTGTGAATGCTAGATCAGGCAATCTACAGGATGCTAATCATAGATGACAACTCACGGTATATACCATCTCTGGAATTCATGTCCTACACTGCTGATACATTTCAAACTTCAAGACGCAGCAAAGACGAGGTTATAAATCGATATGGCATAGATTTAATTGAGCTATGTACTACACTTTCACTTCATAGTTTGAATGGAAGAAGTGAAAGAGACCTACAAGGTGATTTTACATGCTATTTGGGCGATGGAACAAGTTTGGTCGATTACTGTTTGTGTTCATCTTCAATCTTTGATTTACATATTGACTTCGCGCTTGTAACAAGATATAATCGGATCATCGACCAATACAACTGACAGTAAAAATAGATAATGTAAAATCGTATCCTGTTACGGAAACAGACGAAAATGAACTTATAAGATAAATAGATGGGACAAAAGTAAAACTGTAATATACAATAACCATGTTACTATGAAATTGAGTGACTACACAATGCAGCAGTTCAAGGATGATATTGCAAATGACATTGATGACGCAGTAGAAACATTGACGTCATTGATGACGTCATCAGCATCTGAGTGCAAGATGGACATACGACCACGTGATAGAACACATCATAGTGTGAAGTGGTATGACAAGGAATGTTCGCTCTTGAAAGACAGGAAATGCGAAGCTTTGAATACGTTTAGAATCACTGGGACGCATGCCTCTTTCTGTGAGTTTCGACATTTACGGAGTTATTATCGTCAGAAATGCCGGGAAAAGAAGAGAATACACGATCATAAACAGATTGAAGATTTAGTCACATCATCTAAGAACTCCATAGCATTTTGGAATCAAATCAAGAAAATGAGCAAGAAACAAGAAATTTAGCCAAGAATATCTGGCAACGACTGGACAACCTACTTTGAATTTAACTGGTGTTGAAATAGACCAGGAAAATCTACTGTTTTGTGAACAGTTTGTCAATAACCCGAAGATTTACTTTGTGCAAAATGTGAGGATGATGATATAAATAACATACTTAATAAGAACATTACAGAAGGAGAAGTTTTAAGTGCATGAAAACATCTCATAGACGGCAAAGCAGCTGATTTAGATGGGATGCTCCCGGAGATGTTAAAGGTGTGTCAAAACATACTTTTAAAATATAATACAGAATTATTTAATTCCCTTTTCCAGTCTTGGTCGTCAGCCACTACATAAGAAGGGGAACCTCAATGACGTAAACAATTACAGAGGAATAACACTGATGGACATATTCGGAAAACTATTTACTTATATTCTAAACTAACGCATGCAACACTTCTGTGACGTATTTAAACAGGTTCCGGAGTCGCAAGCTGGATTTAGATCCGGATTTTCAACTATGGACAATATATTGACACTGCAGGGACTCGCACAGAAATACTTATCAAAACGGAATGGAAGATGCTATTGTTTGTTTGTCGACTGCCGAAAGGCATTTGATAGTATAAACCGCAGTTTACTCTGGTACACGATTATGAAGAAAGGCATTCATGGTAAATTTTTCAAACTATATCAAGGAATTCATGCAAATGTAAAAGCTGCTGTCAAGGTATCTAACTAATCAATTACTGATTTCTTTCACACAAACACTGGTGTACGACAGGGATGCCCACTCAGCCCTTTTCTCACTATTTATAGTGGATCTTGAAGAAATGAAGAAATGACACAACAGTCCCAATTGAGAGAAATGTATATTGGACAAGAATTTCTGGATATTCTCATGCTTCTCTACGCAGATGATTTATGCCTATTTGACGACAGTGTGATTGGCCTTCAGAGAAAGATAAATGTGCTGCTAGTGTTCTGTGCTAAATGGGGACTCGAAGTTAATCTAGACAAGACGGAAAAAATAGTTTTCAGAAGAGGAGGCATTGTAAAACAAGTAGAAAATGGAAGTATGGAAGTAAAGAAATAAGGATTACAACATATTTTAATTATTTAGGATTAATATTTTCTTCACGGCTATCATGGAGTAAAGCAGTAAGCACGCTAACCATCAAAGCAAACAAGGCACTCTTTAATATCAAGATTTTCCAACAACGATTGAGAAATATGTCACCTCATTTATTATTCAAGTTGTTCGATACTCAGATGAAACCAATTCTTCGGTATGGAGCCGATATTTGAGGATTCGAAAGGTCTACAATTGAACAATTCCATGTTAAGTTCTGCAAATATGTCCTGGGAGCCGAAAGACATGTATGAAACGCAACAGCTCTAGGAGATTGTGGATGTTACGACATTGCTGTTGATTATCACGCATGAGGGATCATGTTCCGGTTAAAGTTGATCGTCACAGATATCCTAAACAAGTATATCTCTACTTAAGACGTTCAGAACAGAAGAACTTGGGTGACAAATATTCGGGAATTACTTTTCATGTACGGATTTGGCTCAGTCTGGCTTTACCAATAGGTGGGCGATATAAATTATTTTTGGGAACGTTTTTAAACAGAGACTTAAAGAATGTAACCAGCAGGAATGGCACGCACGGATCACAGAGTCGAAGAAACTTTACTCATATCAACATTTCAAATCTTTACTGAACATAGAATTTTACTTGTCGACTTTAACTAAACGAGATCACCGACTTCTACTTTTCCTTCTTAGATCATCAGAACTACAATTGAGAGTTAATACCGGACGCTGGGAAGGATAACTGTATGAAGAAAGAATATGCCAACTCTTTGATTACCACAGCGTTGAAGACGAATACCATTTCTGTCTTATTTGCCCAGCTTATGATACTTTAAGACATTTACATTCACCAAAACACTGTCTTGCAAATGTTTACTTCTCTGGCTACTATAAATTATTCTCCTGTACAAATAGTACTATTCTGTATAACTTGCTCTTCTTAAAAGAAAGACAACCATGAATTTTTAATCTCGCCCCCGCCAAATTTTTTTTTAAATGTCCATGGGCCGATGGAATATACTGGAATAAAAACAATTAAATTTAATTGATTTGTAGCCAGAACTCGTTCACTGTGGGTCCCAAGTTGTCATCGGATTTTTAAATATCACCCAATTCTGCAACAAAGACACCGTCATTCTCTGCGTCCTCGTTACTTGAAGACTTACAGTCTCATCGGCAACATTTCAGCCATATCGTGAATAAAAGAGGTTTTAAATTTATTAATGATAAAACCTGTCAACGAAGGATAGTCTAAACTACCAATTATATTTTTTTTTATCTATTTACAAAACGTGCATTTAACTTTATTTAACAATTCTATTTCTTTTAACAATGCAATTATTAAATGTAAATTCACATTAAAAAGATTCTTCAATGTTTTGATATTGAAATACTTATCCTTTGTGATGACTTATCCACAGTCATCTGACTCGCTGTCTGATTTTACCGTTTTCATCTCGACACCGCCGCTCACCGGAATCTCTGGTACCGCTAGCTTTCCATTTGAGTCTTTCTGCCAAGGATTAAGGTGTATATGCCTGTTGTTGCTGCGCATTTAGGATTTGAGCGAGGATGATATTGGCGTCAGGAGAGGCGCTTCTGCCCTGAAACTCCTCCCCTTTCACTTCCCGACGCTATCTTGGTGTGTGATGCTCGGAGACAATTCCGTCGAGAGGGACTTCTGCTCAAACAATGGCTATCCTGGTGACAGGATCTCGGAAAGGAGTGGTTAATACCAACTTGGTATCTTGAAGTAAAAGTCCTCCTACTCACTTGACCGAACACTTCCGAATGAAGAATCCAAAGGAAGTTACAATCGCAAAAAATGAAAACCGCCAGGGCATAACGAAGAACACATTCGCATGCGTGTCTCTCTCACGTGACCCCTAACGAAGTATGGTGAAACGGACTTTCAGGCAACTCAGCAAGAAATTCTCATCTGCACTTTTGGAAATATTATTTGCGTTGAAAATAATCTCAACCCTTCTGACAAAATTTAAAATGACAATACAACTGCTTGTGGCATTTATTGATACTGTGAACACGACGATCCGAATGATGCGAAGGACTTATTAGGAGTCACATGGGCAAATCACAGGCTTTCTGAGGAGAGTGACTATTTTTCTGTTTATTTTAATAACAACTTCAAACTTTCAAATTCAGTTAAATCACTCCTTTTGTGATGTACAACTATTATCTTTGACTACCAATTAGCATAAAAGTATAAAGACCTATCAAGATGTTTGAAATATAAATTGATCCGCTTAAAGTACTGGAAATAATAACTGTCCTATGCTTCTAATTTTACTTTTCAAAGTATATTCAACTACTTAAAATTGTGCGTAATTGGCTGTAGACAAGTTTACTTCAGTGATGAATAGGTTTGATATGCTTGACTTCGCCGCCATATTTCCATCTCCTGAAGATTGTGAGAATGAGAATGAGGAGGAACTCTCCGAGTTCTGTGAGTGTCAGGATACTGGCCCCGAGACAGATGCCCATCTGACCTCCCAGGTTACCTGGCAACAAAGTATATATACCCGTTAGGAGCTGTCCTCTGTAGTGTGAAGATGAATCGCTAAAGTCAATCTGAAATGAGAATGTGGTGAAAAACGCGGCACTCTACGCTATAGATCTTTACACCTGTTCACCATGGTCGATAACTTTGAAAGGTTTATTGAAAGATCTGAAAATGAATCTGCCACTTACCTATTATGGTCTCAGTTGTATACTGTGGAGTTTGAGATGTCGACTGAACGATCAGGTTGTTATAGAACAACCTTATTTCAAGATAGTTTTCCCTGAAAATTTGTAGCTTGTATTATTAAAAGTTATTGTACAAGGACAGGGAAATAAAGTACAGTCCTACTATTCATATCAGTTTTTAAGTGTGAGCATTTGACAACTGATGAGGCATGCTTTCAATTGGGAAATGTCAGGTGTTTCTTTCAGGATCACGACATCGTTGGCTCACTTGGGAAATATGATCGTTGCTTGTAGATATTCTGTGCATCTTACAACTTATTATCATATGATTCGCAGATGTACCTGATAAATGCCTCATCTGGTGCATATCCAAGCTTCAGAATGAGCGCCACTGACACATTGGACGGGTACCTCGATGTGGATAGTTTGACATCGTATGTCTCGAATGAACATGGCACTTGACAGCCGCAGGATTTCTGAATAGTCGCATTTTGCATAAATTGTTCTGACAAAAAGAAGTATATAATTATTCACAAAGGAGTTATTAGTAGTTACATATATTAACATATATTAGTACTTAACATAGCTGCATTTGAATATAGACAGCTGAATACTAAAAAGGGGGCATTGTTACTGTGTTTTATGCACATGTGTCTTATAAGACATTATTTTAGTTCAAGCGCGGGTTATGTGTCAAGTACGAAGCCGAACAGTTGGAAACAATGCTTTGTTTTTTTTGTTGCCTAACGCCGCACTCCGAAATCTTCCATCCATATGAGTGAGTGAGTGAGTGAGTGAGTTAAAATTTAACGTCACATCGGCAATATTTCAGTCATGTCATTTACGAGAACATTTGATATTGGAATGAAATATATGTAAATTATAAAAATCTGCCGACGAAGGGCAGTAAAACAACTAGAACATCACAGATATACATGTAAAACTAGTAATAGAGTCTAAAACATTTTAACCATAGGGGACAACACAATATAAAAATAGGCTATAGATCACCAACAACTGAAAGTAGGTCACCATACTAGGGTCCATGGGGACTTACAGTACCTTTGCTACCTGCATGGACCCTAGTTGGATTTACACTATCCCTTCAGCCGCTGGTGATTGTAGGATAATTTAACCGAAATCTAAATGAACAAAAATACTACGATTAAAAACTTGGTATGTGAAAATTCTACTTTGAAAGTTTTGGGACTTACGTACCCTCTCAGGAGGACAATAATTTTACACTACTTCAACCCCCTTTGAGGGTACAGCCACTAACAATCTCAGTTACTAATCTAAACTACCAATCATTAAAATACATCTATCTACAGAACATGTTAATCAGATTTCATCAATGAAGTCAATTTCTTTTAAAAAACCAATAATTAAATGAGAATTAATAGTAGTAAAAAGATCCTTAAGTGTTTGCACACTGAAATATTTATCCCTTATGATGGAGAATTCAACACAGTCAAGCAGGATATGCTTGACCGTAACTCTCTCATCACAAGGGATTCAAAACGGAGGATCTTCACCTTTTAGCAAGTATTTATGAGTATACCTTGTATGGCCAATGCGACATCGTCGCATAATGACCTCTTGAAATCTGGACTGGCAACCCAAGTAGGTGTAGCCAATGGTTGGTTTAATTACATGTAATTTATTGATACCTACTTGGGTGTCCCACTTCTTTTGCATCAGATAGCGGATGTATGCTCTAATGCTTGCTTTATAATCAGAGTATGGAATTAGAAGTGGTGTCACAGATTTGTTGAGTGCTGCCTTGGCAGCAAGATCAGCCATGGTATTCCCAGAAATGCCAACGTGGCTGGGTAACCAACAAAAGACGATGTCGCACTGGCCAGTAGCAAGCTCATTATACAATTCAATAATTTCTAATAAAAGTGGATGTTTACAAGAAATATTTTTAATAGCCTGAAGACATGAAAGGGAATCGGAAAAGATTATGTACTGTTTATGTTTAGGATGTCGTTGAATATATTTAAGAGCCGTTGATATGGCGTATGCTTCTGCTGTAAAAATGGAACTGTTATCTGGTATTCTAGAAGATATTGTTCGGGATCCAATGACAGTGGCACATGCCACTGCGCCACCATCCTTGGATCCATCTGTATATAAGGACTTATAGGTATTATATTTATTTCTTAATTGACTAAATTCTTGTTTATACTGTAAATCATTAGTTTCGGATTTTTTAAATGTGGTTAATGTTAAGTCAACGTCTGGCCTCACCAATTGCCAAGGAGGAGAAGAAAGAAGACGAAAAGGAGAAATATTCTCCAGCTCAATGCCAGCAGCAGAAAGGAATGGTTTAATTCTGTGCCCAAGAGGCGGAACAAGAGAAGGCTTTTTCTTATACAAATCCTCATAAAGAGGAGTGAAGACACAGTCAAATGCAGGGTTAGACTCGTTAGAAAATAGTTTGGTAATATATTGTAAAGATAATTTAATACGGCGTTGGGAAAGAGAAGGCTCATCTGCCTCAACATAGAGACTATCAACTGGAGAAGTTCTAAATGATCCAAGACAGAGTCTTGGACCTTGGTGGTGAACAGAATCAAGTAGTTTAAGGTTGCTGTTACAGGCTCCGCCATATACGATCGAACCATAATCAAGTTTAGATCGTACCAATGATCGGTATAAGTGAAGGAGGGTAGTTGGATATGCACCACTTCGAGTTGGAAACAACTTTCAACAAATCGAGTGCCTTCAGGCATTTGGCTTTAAGTGATTTAATATGCGGCAAAAAGGTTAAATGGGCGTCGAAAAATAGACCTAAAAATTTGGCCTTCTTAACAACTTTGATGGGAGTGCCATTTAATGATAGTTCTGGATCTTTATGCGGCTTATATTTTCTACAAAAGTGTAGACAATTAGTTTTGGACTTGGAAAATTTAAAGCCGTTTTCAAGACACCATTTATTTATTTTATTTAAACACAACTGCAATTGCCGTTCAGTAGTATGCATATTTTTACCACGACAAGAAATATTAAAATCATCCACAAAAAGTGATCCATCAATTGAATCGTTTAAAACCTTGGATAAACTGTTTATCTTGATACTAAACAAGGTGATAGACAAAATACTGCCTTGTGGGACACCCTGATCCTGATTGTAATGGTCAGACAGGGTTGAACCCACTCGGACTTGAAATTGCCGGTCAAGTAAAAAGTTGGATATAAATTGAGGCAAACGGCCTCGTAATCCAAAATCATGTAAGTCTTTTAAAATCCCATGTTTCCATGGCGTGTCGTATGCTTTTTCTAGGTCGAAAAAGATCGACACTGCATGCTGTTTATTAATTGTGGCATTTTTTACAAAAGACTCTAAACGTACTAAATGATCGATGGTACTACGGTTTTTACGGAAACCACATTGTATATTAGTTATAAGGTTATTGGTTTCTAAGTACCAAACAAGTCTATTGTTGATCATACGTTCCATGGTTTTGCAAACGCAGCTTGTCAGTGAAATTGGTCTATAATTAGAGGGATCTGTATGATCACGTCCAGGTTTAGGGATGGGCACAATTATAGCATCGCGCCACGATGAAGGGAAATTTCCAGTTATCCAAATGTCATCAAAAATATGTCACAGTGTCTCCAAACATGATGCAGGTAAGTGTTTCAGGAGTTGATAATGTATACCATCAGCTCCTGAGGAATTATCGTGAGCTTGGTCAAGAGCAGTATGAAGCTCATGGATTGAAAAGGTTTCATTGTAGTCTTCCCCATTATCTGAATTGAAATTAATAGATTTCTTTTCCTGCTGTCTTTGATATTTCTGGAATTCAGGTACATAGTTGGATGAGGAAGAATGTTTGGCCAAAGTTTCTCCAAGTTTATTTGCTATGTCAGATGTATCAGTTTATAATTCATCTCCGTCTTTGAGATGCTTAATGCTGGATTTAGAGCCCTTACCTTTTATTTTCTGGATCATGTTCCATACCTTTGATATCGGTGTGCGCGAATTGATTTTTGAGACATAGTTTCGCCAAGATTGGCGTTTATTTTGCTTAAAAGTACGTCGTGCCTTAGCGTTTAAAATTCTAAATTTGTCTAAATTGTGGACCATAGGATGGCGACGGAAATAATGCTCAGCTTTCTTCCGTGCCTTCCGTGCCTGTTTGCATTCGTCGTTAAACCATGGTTTTCGTACGTGTGGAATTGCAGAGGATTTGGGTATACACTCATCAGCTATTTTCTTGAGTTCATCAGAAAAATCCTTTATGGCATCAGGAACATCTATAAAAAGTTCAGTTTTAAGTCTGTTACAACACAGAGATTGATATAAATGCCAGTTAGCTTTTTGAAAATTCCATCTTGAGGTTCGGGCAAGATCAGATGGGCTCACAGGCTGCAATATATTGTAGGAAAATGGTCACTACCACACAGGTCATTGTGGACTGACCATTCAAATTCATTCAGAAGGTTTGAGTCTGTAATTGATAAATCAAGGGCTGAATAAGTTCCTGTGCCAGGATGTAAATATGTTTTGGCACCGTCATTATAAATGCATAAATCATTATCTGAACAGAACTCCTCTAATAATTTACCTTTAGCATTTGTGGTTGTACCACCCCAGAGTGGGTTATGGCCATTAAAGTCCCCCATAATAATGCAGGGTTTTGGTAGTTGGTCAAATAGAGATTGAAGGTCAGTCTTCTGCAAGGTTGAAGACGGAGAAATATACAAAGAGCATAAGGTAAATGCAATGTGTAAGTGAGTCGCACTGCAACCGCCTGAAGACTAGATGTAAGAGCAACAGGGCTATGAATAACATTCTGTTTGACTAAGATAGAAGAACCTCCAGTGGCCCTATCGCCAGGAGGAGAAAAATAATGATATGAGCAGTAATGACGCAAGTTAATTTCGTCTGTCGGCTTTAAATGTGTTTCCTGCAGACATAAAGCTGAAGGTTGAAGATCTTGTATGAGTAAGTGTATTTCATTGAAGTTGTTCTTCAATCCTCTGCAATTCCACTGAACGATATGAGAGAATTGAGTCATTGTGGCTCAATTGGGGATCTCTCTCTAGAATGGGAGGAAGAATTTGTCCTCCGCTTTTCCTGTGAGGACAGAGTAACCTCCATATCGAAAGGACCAAATGGATTTTCCAGAGGGAGCTCTGAAGGTAAAGGAATAGTATTTGTTGGTTTCTTATTCAATTTCTTACCTTTCTTTTTTGACAAAGGAGCGGTGTCTGGTTGTTTATGAGAAGCTGGTGCTGGTGTCTCAGAATGATTTTTTTGTAAAGTACCAGGTAGTGACTGAGCTTGCAGGTAAGCATCAGTCTGAGTAGATGTTCCAGTATCCTCAGAGATTTTATAGATAATAGTTTGATTTTCTGATACCCATGAGATGGCCGTCTGGCACCCATGGTCAACCTTCAGACAGGAAGTAGATGCTACAGCAGCGTACGTTTTCTGTGGAGAGGTGTTTGGTAACAATTTCTTTGCTTCCAGCAAAGAAATATTTTTGGTGTGTTTTATTTTCAGAATCTGTGCTTGTCTTTCAAAGGTTGGACATGATCTTGAAGAGGACATGTGATCACCATGACAATTTGCACACTTGATGTCACTTGTACAGTCAGCATTGTCATGTTTGCCACTACAGCGAGAACATGTTTGAGAATTATTACATGCAGTAGCACCGTGTCCAAACTGCTGACACTTAAAACACCGAAGAGGATTCGGGATGTAGACTTCCACCTCAGTGTTGAAATATCCAGCTTTAATTGTTTTTGGTAGCGATGAAAGACAAAATGTGAAAAGATACGTATTGGTTTTGATAAATTTATCACCATCTTTTCGTGTGAATATCTACTTCTGTCATATCAGTAAGACATTTTGCCCTATCACGGACAATGCCTCTGCAAGAATTCAGTGTTCTGTGGGGCGAAACCTCAATCCTAGTGTTTGCAAAGTGTCCTGCTTTGAGCAAATTGACAGATTGTTGCTTCCTGGCACACTCCACGAGCAAGGAACCTGTTCTGAGGCGAGTAACATTTTTCACATCACCACATATTCCAGCAATAGCTTTAGATACAGCAAAAGGGTTAAGTTGCAGTGGTTGTCCATCCGCTCCCTGTACAACCAGGAAACGGGGCCAAGAATCCAAATAAGTTGTCCCTGATTCATCATCAGAAGACGAGACAAATTCTAAATCAATATGTTTTCTCTTTGATTTGGATAGAGAACCAGAGGGTCCTCACCCACCATGGAGTGTCAACAAGGACGGTGTCGAAGTGGAAACCGACTACGAAACACCAGGGTTACAGGGATGTTATACTCAAGCAATACAGACACAGGAAGCTAATATTGTCAAACAGAATAAAAGTCTAGCTGGTTCCGCCCATGACAGTTGTCTGAAGACAATTAGAACCCGGAGGTCAGTAATGCCAGATTGGCCCATTAGCCACCGCCTTCTGGCATAGGACTCTAGGCAATACAATATCATGAATAATTTAAATTTAGAGTAGCCAAGACCAAAATGATATATGAAATATGTGCAATAATACTCACTATGCATAGGGCCTGGCGTGACCAGCCGATTGATAGAACCGGGCCAGTTCTACCACCCGTCTAGGTGAAGTAAGGGTCAAAGTGGTGTGTTGGGCAACAGGAACACGGTTCCAGGCTCCTATTGCCCTCAACCACCAGAATCCCGTCCTCCACCGACACAGGGGCGCAACCCACGGCAAACGGGTTGGTGGACCTAATATCCCCCCGGGTCCACAACGGGGGGTTGAAGGGCGCTTGGCGTGACCCAGCACCCACCACGAGGAGGTGGCCCTTCATGGGTGCCTCCATCCATATGACATTCGAAACAATTTTATACTTCATTGCGTGTTTAAACCTCTAGATTTCTGAGCCCAAATTCGTTCGTGTTCAGGATGTACCAATACTAAATTTAAGACGTAACAATATAATTCTGGGACATTACGTCTAGCAGCTGTCCAGTTTCTGGCAAGTTTCTGACAAAATTCAACTTTCTATTTTCATAGATTGTAAGGGTGAAGGAATGTAATTTCGTTTGTTCAAAAACTCAAGGGCAAGAATATTTACGTTTGCTCAAAACTGCTTGTATAGGAATGAACCTGGCCACCTGGCTCAAACTTCAACCAAACAATTGGCCCATAGGCGAGCATATTGTAGTTGGCACAACATTCATGTTTACGTGTTTGTAAATGAATTTTCTATAAAAAAACCCCCAAACAACACGCATTCAGAAACCATCATAGCAGCAGAATGAACTCACGATATGTTGGACCGTAGCAGGTTGTGAAGATATAAATGGAACAAATTGGTCCAAAAGTTGCTGAAAATAAAACCATAATGGTTAGAAAAATGGCAATATTTTTAACAAAGTGAGAAACATGGCAAGGAACCTCTATGCTCACGACAACATGTGCGTATAAACCAATTATTACAACTACATGCGGTTCAGGTGTCGCCAGTTAAGTGTATGTATTGACCAGTCAACCAGAGCTTGTTTAATATTTGTAAAGGAAGACGGGCTTCTATAAACTGCATCTTAATAATTAACCATTTCCTTTCAGCTATTGGCACATGATCTTACATCTTACCGTTATCTGATGCCTTTATGCAACCACAACGGTTGCGTGTTATCCCTGTAATGCATTCCTGCAGACAGTTTTCATATGTGTAGGTGTCGAAATATTGCAGCGTGTTCTTAAATGAGGGTGATAAAGTATCCAAGCATGTCCGATTCTTGAAGGCCTGATAGGGTGGTGGCAGGTACTCGAACTGATTGAAATAAGTCCGTAAATAACATCTTATTTTATCCAAACAATTGTGCTTTTTGCACAAGGATGTTGCAGGTGGTTTTAAATGACTTAAATATACTGGACAAAAATAGTTAGGGATATATGTAAATTTTGAAATAATGAATAATGATTTATTTATTCATGGACACACTGATACCATATCAATCATAAAAATACCAATATCCCTAAATTATTGTGTCCAGTATATTATGTTTCTGTGATGAAAGAAGTTATATACAGGGATCTCTTCTTTGAGTGCTACAGCGTTTTGAAACTAGGACAACTGTCAGGACGTAAATAATACCTTATTCAAAGCGTTGGTCTGTGATTTGAATTCCTATTGGCATTGCGCACGGGGATTCAACGACCGTTATTCATGACTATTTCTTAACGTTTGAGGTATTACATTCTTTGCGTTGTAATGAGCATAATTATGTATGAACAACTGTATTCCGTCAATATTAACTCTACTTACAGCAGAAAAAAAAACGAACGGAGTTTAAAGACATACAAAGACTGCATGTTGTTTCACCATATCAACTCTTCATTATCGGTATGGAAAATACAAAAATGGCAATTGACACATGCATTTTAACAAAAGTTGATATTTACAAGATGACAGCGTGCATTAGCAGAACACGCCAGTGTGCATGTAAGTGACTTACCGTTGATCTGTGGACAGAAGCGTATGTTGATGTCCCTGGAGCTGCCAGGAAGGACGATGTCGCAATATCTGGATGGACACGAGGGTCGTGTAATATTACCTGTAGTCAGTGAAACAGCAATTCATTTAGTGAGTGTCATATTTGTATGTCACTTCACCATTAAAACACAACTGGAACTACATGAACTGTGTTCAAACTGAAAATAATAAACGGTATCACACAAAGGCCATGATTATTTTTGTCAGAAAATCGTGTCATATTCGTCCCGGTGGACGCATAAACATCATCATCTATACACCATATATATATAGTTTGTCGTTAATACATTTATATACTTAACTGCACTAATCCCAGTAATGGTTTTACATGTGAGATGTTGTACAAACAGTGTTGGTACAAATGTAGAATTAAGAAAAAGTGAGTTGGTGATTGAGTTTAGTTTTATGCCGCTCTCAGCAATATTCCAGCTATATGGCGGCGGTCTGTAAATAATCGAGTCTGGACCAGACAATGCAGTGATCAACAGCATGAGAATTGATATGTGCAATTGGGATACGATGACATGTGTCAACCAAGTCAGCGAGCCTGACCACCCGATCCCGTTAGTCGCCTCTTACGACAAGCATAGTCGCCTTTTGTGGCAAGCATGGGTTTCTGAAGACCTATTCTACCCCGGATCTTCACAGGTTATTAATAAAAAGAAAACGTAAAGGTACGCATGTGATTCTCAGTTGTGCATTCTGTAAATCGTCTTCCGAATTTACTATGAATTACTTTGTTTTGCATACCTTCATCCCAGCAGCCAGTTGGGACCCAAGAACATAGTTGGCCTGATCAATATTGGCATACATGATGAGATTGTTGTCTGATCCAGTGATTCGAACTTTAGCAACATCAGAAGCATTCCAATTAAAGGTGGCACAGAGACCCATGTTAGTGAAAATAGGTTTCATTGCAGCTGTGCAGGGGTGATGTTCAACACCATTCATCAAACACAAATAAAACATTCTGTTTAGAGTCATGGAAATACATTTTCCCACCAGTCGTGTTTGTGATTCTTCCGAAATGTTGACCCGTAGCCAGGATCGCTCCAATTTAGATTTCCCGTCAATGATCCTAACATGCTGACTTTAGTTAAATACTCCTCCAGATAGGGATCGACTGCTTTAATCTTGGTTAGATTAAACGGACTCAGATTGCAGAAGGTGACGGCAGGAAAAGGCAGCTCCTCGAGGACTTCCACCTTCGTGTTAGTCATCACTGGGTATCTGTAGTAATTCATCATCTCCTTTGTGATGTTGTAGGTCATGTATGCTGTCATCGCCAAAACTGCGACAGTCCATGAAAAGCTAACAAAAAAATCCTATAAGAGTCTAGATGTACACTTCTCCGAAGACAGTTGAGATTCTGTTTTTCAGTTATGACTAATAAGCCGGTGATTTTATTAAACTTGCAAGGGACATGCTATTCACTCATAAGACACCTTGTCATCCTTCAGCAGTACATGTTTAAACATGAGTATTAATTTAAGCACCACCTGAATCCAAAGGCATCTTTTTTTTATGAAATGTTGATAAAAACAGATTATCATACATAAGTATACTGGAATGCTCATGCCCATGAGCTTCACACAGTCCCTCAAATTAGAAGATGATACACACATTTGGGTGTAACGGAATCATTAAAAAAATGCACAATGGCTCGCTATTGGCATTCGGGACGTAGGGATGTCCTGTCTCAACGTCAGTGACATCATGAACGTTATCTAGATCTTATTAGTTGACTTGCGAAGAGGCACGTGGCCACCAGTCAAAGCAAAATATCGCCCATGGGAGGGAAGATATAGGGAGACCTGAATGGGGGAAGACTATAGTGAGTGAGTGAGTCTCGATATTCGCCGCACTCAGCAATATTCCAGCTATATGACGGCGGTCTGTAAATAATCGAATCTGGACCAGACAATCCGGTGGTCAACAGCATGAGCATCGGTCTGCGCATTTGGGAACCGATGACACGTGTCAACCAAGCCATTGAGCCTGACCACCCGAGGGGAGGACTATAACGGCAGTGTAAGGACGACTAGCGGGGCGCAGGTTCCGAGTACAGGATCTTGCAGACATGGAGTAGGATTCATTGGTCAGAATCCGTTGATATCCGGTTGGAGGTGAGGTGAAATTCGGTTTAACGTCGTGCTTGAGAATATTTCGCTCATATGACGACGTGCATGCGTGTGTATGTGTATGTGCGGCTGCTTGTACTAGCCCAGACTGAAGCTGGTTTTATAGTGCTAGCCCCCTGAGATACCATGCAGCAGTGAAGCATGAATACCCCACTCAGACACATTATACTGACTCCGAGCCGACCAGTCCTTGTTGTGCCCATTAATGCCGAGCGCCAGGCAGGGACCAACAAGTACCATATTTTAACGTCTTTTGGTATGACGCGGTCGGGGATCGAACCCGCGACCTTCCGCTCTCCGGGCGGACGCTCTCACCAGTACACCACGGAGGCGGTCTTTCCGGGTTGGAATTGATCTTCAGAAACCCATGCTTATCGCAAGAGGCGACTAACGGGATCGGGTTGTCAAGCTCGCTGACTTTTTGACACATGTCATCGTATCCCAATTGCATAGATCGATGCTCATGCTGTTGATCAGTGGAATTTCTGGTCCAGACTCGATTATTTACAGACATCCGCCATATAGTTGGAATATTGCTGAGTGCGGCGTAAAACTAAACTCACTCACTAATTGGTCTGATGAAAGTTCGAAATACCGCGCGTTACAGACGGCCGTTGTTGCTTGTGGAGACATCGTAACGTGGAACCAAGAGGGGATCCATGCACTTGATGTCTCTGTGATGTTAAAGGGTAACGCTTGGTATGACTGCAAGTTTGACACTCAATGGTCAACGTAGTGGAAGTACTTGATTCCGCCGCTTATTTACTTTTTGATTAATTATAGGACTGCCTTTCAATTTATACTGCTATTCTATTTTGTACTATAATACTCGCATTTTAATTCGTTGGTAAACTTAGTTAATTTTAGAAAACAGTTGCTAATGCTAGCACATTGTTTTGTGATTTTGTATTTCACACCAAGTTCTTTTACGGACAGATTTCCCGTTCACTTCTAAGTTTCAGCTGCGGAATAAGTACGTAACACTGTTTGAATTCTACAGGCACTCCATGAGGAATGGCAGAGGATTTCGATGCTGTGCATTTGACGCTTGATTGCCAGTATGTGGAGGTGACTGGCAGATGTTTCTGAAGTGTGGCTGCAACAGGTAATAATTTGATCGCCAGAGGTGATTCATACAAGGATTGGCTCATCACGCCGAAGACCCGGGTTCGAATCCCCACATGGGTACAATGTGTGAAGCCCATTTCTGGTGTCCCCCGCCGGGATGTTGCTGGAATATTGCTAAAAGCGGCGTAAAACCAAACTCAGTCAGTCAGTCAGTCATACAATGACAGCATTCATAATTTGAAAACTGTGGAACAATCTTGTAGTTGTCGTAGCCATAGTGACCAGTTGTCTCAGTAACACATTTTCTCAGTTTAATGTGTTAAAGTTACCATTTGGCTACGCGGAATTTGGTTTTTAATCCATATAAAGCCACATAAAGAAACTGTGCATTGTCAAAATATTATCCCAGTTGATAAGTACGATAACAATGTCAAAGGTACATATAAACTTTAATGGAGGGATAATGAGACCATAACAAGTCGGGAGAATTTCAATTGTCAATCACAATGACGTCACGAGTCCACAAGCGGGACAGGAGTCAAACGACCATGTCACAAGCTCAATAACGGGTATGTCCACCATCAGCATTGACAACAGCAGTGCATCCACGACGCATAGAGCCTATCAAACGTGCAAGGAAGGCTTGTCGGATGTCACGCCAGATTCTCTCAAGTTCTGTTGCAAGGTCAAGGACGTTATCTGGCGAATGAGGAAGACGGCGTAGACGTCCCAAACATGCTCTATCGGGGAGAGATCCGGTGAATTTGCAGGCCAAGGCAGTAAGTCAACGTTGTGGTGTTGCAAGAAATCCATAGCACCCCTTGCCGTATGAGGGGGGCCATTGTCCTGTTGGAATGTTAACTCAGGGCCATGACGTTGCAGAAAAGGAATTGCCACAGGTCGAAGAATCTGATCCCTGTAGCCCACACCAGTTAAGTTGCCCTGAACAATCACCAAAGGAGTTCTCTGGCGTGCTGTTATTCCACCCCAAATCATCACGGAACGACCACCAAAGCGATTCCTCTCCAAGACACAGGCCTGTGCATAACGTTCTCCAACGTGTCTATAGGCACATTGACGTCCATTACTATGGGAAATGTTAAACCTGGACTCATCTGTAAAAACAACATTTTTCCACCAAAACAGGGTTCTGCGGACATGATTTCGGCACCACATTCGGCGAGCTTGTCGATGACGTTGTGTCAGGATAGGCCGTATGGCGGGACGGCGTGGTCTGATCCCGTGATGACGTAAACGTTGTCGAACTGTGTTTGGGTGGATACGGCGAAGTCCTGGGATGGTTCGGGCAGTCATCACTGCAGTCTGAAACCTGTGGCGAAGATGGGTCACCCTTATCCATCTGTCCTGTCTTGGCGTTGTTACACGTGGACGTCAAGAACGTGGCCGATCGATGACGTCATTTGTGTTCTGGTAGCGTCTCACCAGTGCAGAAATGGAGTTCCGGTGGCAGTGGAAATGTGCAGCCACTTGTCGTTGAGACATTTCACCACGGACCATTGCCAATGGCCTCATGACGTTGTGCAGACGTGAGCCTTGGCATGCTATGCGTTTCAATAGCCCTTTAATTTTTTGAACGATCGCAAGGGCAGGGGTTGAGCTTTCCAAAGTGACATTATTGTGTGGCATTCATTTGCTCTGATTCTCTTTCCCGGAATGCACGTGCAACAACATATTGCACGTCTCAAGGACGAACCCACTGACGTCACGGAACTTGGCACGTGCATGCATGTTTGATACATGTCACTAATGTCTGAGTTTGAATCCTTATGTGTCTACACAGGTTTGATAAATTTAGATTTTAAATTTTTGTATGCACAGTTTCTTTATGTGCCTAGTATACAAGCAAGCAGTGTTACGGTGCATATATGATAAACATTGGGTGGTGCTTGATTAATGCTCATGTGTATACAATGTTGGACTGCGTTAAATATAACGTTATTTTCTCTAACTACGGCAACTACATTGCCATGCAGCAGTAAGTTCACATCAAAAGGCAGAGTACGAACTATTTAAGATTGTTAATGATTGGTACACGTTGAGGACTGGATATTCCACAAGGTATTGCTGTGCAGTTCCACATATATCTGAATATATGGAGTTCAGGTGAAGAAAAAAATATAATCAAAATAACACACCAGCATCATCTGTGCAACTGTGTAGTCACAAGAGACACTTGAGTACAAATTGTACTAAAGGCGAAAACTCGAAATAGGTAGGTGCTATGTATTCATCCTCATAAACTACTTGATGCATGATATTTCAATATGGCATTCATATTTTGCGAACATGAAACATATGAATACTAAGTTTGATTAGTCAGGGTGAGTGAGTGAGTTAATATTTAACGAAACTTGAGTAGTCCAAAATACCAAAATAGCGTACGAAGTAAATTTAACTGAAGAAATATCAAGATTTATGGATGTCAACTACATTATTGTGAATAACACGACGTTTTTGAGTATATGCTTGCTCCTTATTCACAATAAAGAAGTTGACATCCACAAATCATGATTTTCTTAGGCATTCCACTTGTAAATACCCTTCAAAGATTTAACTGATTTGAAAGCGTTACACTCACTTTCTGATAAATACATTCCGAAACTACTGCATTGATCATATTATCTGATAATGCTACTATATCATATTCAACTCACCATCTAATCTTGTAGTGACGTCCGGGGGTGAGTTTATTCACTCCGTGGAAGCCTGTGTTCTGGGTAAAATCAGTCCACAAACTACCTATTTTCTCCTCAGTACATGAGGGTTTCTCTGTCCATGCAGCTTTTACTTCTGTTTTAGATGCCATCTTACAGAGTCTGCTGACGTGCTGACATTCCCTAAGCCACCCTTTGGAGATTGATGGACCACACGCAAACGGCGCAGAAAATCGACCCTGTTCTGAGCAAACAATATCATAATTCACTCTATTTGTATCGATCTAAATGTGTGTAGGTTGATGCTTGTATTACAATACTGGCACTGATGAATCGTTGGCTACTCCACATTGGCATTCTATTTGATATAATCAATTTGTGTTCTTCAAAATATTTTGTTTTTACTGATGCGGTCTCCATCACATATTCCACCACGCGTGGTTCATTATTTATCAAATGTTTACAAGGGTGTATGAAATAATGTATGATTTATGGGACCATTTGGTAGGGATTGTTTTCAACTTCTTTGTCTTCTCAGTCAGTCCATATTTGGAATGATAATATTGAGACGATTCCGTCTCGGTCACAACAGATACTAGTATGTTAATCAAAAGGTTAATATCAGGGGTTTAATTGACATCCCTCGTGATGAAAGAATTACAGTCAAGCGTGTACAGACAGTACGGGACCTTTGTAGTAAAGTTGATTCCCATTCAATTTTATCTTTTATAAAAGAATGTATAACGTGATGTATTTAACAAATTGTTAGTGTATGATTTTAAGTGAGATTGTTTGTGGCTGTCCCTTCGACGGAATTTGAAGTACCATAACATTACTGTCCGTTCCAGTGGGTTTGCGGGGCGGTATGTAGGGTCATGTAAGACGACGTATCTACCATTGTTTGAACAGTAGGACGTATTTTGTTAAATGATTGGCAAAGTTTCTAAACAACCGCCAAAACTTTAAAGGGCATATTGATTTGAATCACAGTGCATTCATCTACATAACACTGAAGTGATTTTTGTCCATTGTTCTGGGTGTTTGGTGTATGTGAGATGGTATATGTTTTCGTGCGGTAGTCCCAGCCCATTCAAAAAAGGTTTCAAGTGACATTTCTTCAAATTTATTCAAAACGTAAAGACCAATTTTGCGAGGATGAAATTTCGGATATAGCATAAATAGAATGAACGGTAAATACTCGCAATCACGTACAATACATGCACCTTTCCAAAATAAAGACAGCAGAAATCATGTAAGTAAAGATGTGTTAGACAAAAATAAGAGAAAAAAAATATTGTTATGGAAGTTCCTTGGGGACTACGTTTTAGGGATAAATGGCAAGGGAAAATTATTTGTGTCAATTTTATTGGATAAACATTGTTTCATTGGATACACTAACGCCAAAAACGCCAATGAATTACAGAAAAAACTATCAAAGATATGTTTAGTTTAGGTATTAGTTTACAAGAAAGCTTTATGCAAATCACGAAAAATATTGTTCAAATGCATTCATACTTAGGTGAAATGCATCTCTTTCAGAAGAGTTAAATTGTCATATTTTCGACCATGCCGAAATAAACCAATAACAGTGATTTAGATGTCCAAAAGAAAGGTTAAAATAAAATTCTGCTTTGAAACAAAGATAAATCATTTAAAGTCACCATTTATCAACTATTAAAACAAGAAACAACTGCTGTAGAGAGCGTACAATTGTAAAAGAATCATTTATATGATTTCAGTCTTTTAAAACATTTGCATTAGTGAAAGCATGTACAACGTGTCTTTGATATTGTGCAAAAGTCTTTAGGAACACCTAACATTATTTTTGTTAACATTTTTGCTTGTAAAGGAACATTTTTCCATTTTTTTGTTTACACATAGCAAAATCAATCGCCAAAACGTTGCAATATTCAAAGAGTATTTGCATCAATTTCACGTGTAGAATGAATCTTTAGGGTATAAAGAGAGCCTAGAATGCATGATATGATACACAAGTACGAGAAATATGCCACGACTAACAGCAGAAGAGAGAGAAAGAGCCATTGGGATGTTGCAGATGGAGTCGACGTACAATGTTGTTGCCAACGCCCTCGGATGCCACCTTATCACTGTAATAAGACTTATGCAGCGCTACAGACAGACTGAGGTCACCGTAGATAGTCCAAGAAGGTGACGCCAGGTGAAGATAGGTACCGCCGTCAAATACACCTGAGGAACAGATTTCTACCGGCCAAGTCGTCAGCAAGGACAGCTCTGGGACGTCAACAGTTAGAAGAAAACTTCGGGTCCAAGGTTACGGCCCTATAGACCAAGGCAGGGGATACAGCTGACGCGGCAGCACCGTCTAAGCACGTCCGACGTTGGCAGAACCAGAACTGGCGGCAATTGATGTTCACCGATGAGAGCCGTTTTATGATCCACCATGTAGATGGTGAAGGAGGGTGTACCGTCGTCGGGGTGAAAGAGAAGTCCCATGCTGCGTTCAGGACGTGATTCCACAAGGGGAAAAGGCAGTGTGATGGTCTGGGGCGGAATCAGGGACGACGTTGCCACCGACCTTCTCGTTATTGACGGCAATATGACGGCACGAGCCTACACTGACCAGGTCGTCCAGCCTGTGGTTCTCCCTTTCTTGCAGCGTCACCCAAACACGCTTTACCAACAGGACAATGCACCCCCTCACGTTGCACGATTGACGACAAACTTCTTCAACGCCAACAACGCCAACGATTTGCCATGGCCTTCAAGATCGCCAGACATGAACCCTGTCGAACATTTGTGGGACTATCTAGATCGCAGGGTTCGCTCGCGTAAAAACAGCCCAACAGTCGTCCGCAACTAATCTCTGCTCTGAGAGAAGAATGGCGTCGTATTCCAGCCGCCTTCATCAAACGATTGACATTTTCTGTGAGGAGACATGTTCTGGCATGTTTGCATGCCAATGGTGGCCACACTAAATATTGAAATAGTCATGAAATAACAAAATTATTAACTTTATATGGTTTTGTTGTCTTTTTGTATGTGATCGAAAACTGGACTATGTAATTAACCTTATATATCATTGCAGCAGTAGAAAAAATCAACCAATGTTCTCAAAATATTTAGTGTCCATATGATTCCATATTGTTTGGCTATAAAATGCAGCAGAAAGTTTCATGCTCACTTGCAACTGAGCAGATTGTAAGAAATTCATTCAGGAAGGAGGGTAACTTTTCTTTGGGCTTTTAGTGTATATCATCGATCATTAGAGATCAGTCGAAGGCGGATCAAGGGTTTTTCAAGCGAAAAAGCTGTTACAGAGATAGACAATAAGAATATGGCGTACATTCTCGAGATAAAAGTGTGATAGGTGTATTTGAGATTAATATTTTCAGTTTTGTTTCAATAGTTTCAATAAAACCTTTGTTTCTTTCTTTCTTCGTTTATGTTTTGTTTTTTGTTTTTTGTTGTTTTTGTTTGTTTGTTTGTTTGTTTGTTTGCGCGTGTGTGTAATATATGGTAGTCAGTGGCATAATGATGTCTGTTTTGGTCAAGGCTGTACAGTACTTATTGTAAGCTAATATACCAGCCTCGATGTTAGTAAACAGCATTAATAACTAAACCAACCATCACTTGACACACTTGACAATATACAAATAATACATTATAACATTTATTACTATAGAAAACAAAGTTAGCCTTAGTTCTAGGCTACCGTATATGACCGTAGATAAGCCAAAGTTTGAAGACCAAACAAAAGCAATCTGCAGAAGGGGATCGGCTTATCTACAATTTACATTTTCGCCATACTTTTTCAACCCCTTTATTTCTTTTTAATCTGGATACAACATTTCGTACACATTTCACAGGTCGGCATATGTGTAATTGTATATAAAGCAAGTCAAGTACAATCATTATCTATATAAATACATGTAGATTGTGGCAAGACAATCAAAATGAGAAAATACTTTCATATTGGCTGTGAAAGTAAGCCTTTGATTTATATATTTGGTAATTGTAATTCAGACCAGCTGGAGAAGGTAACATTTTGCTACACTTCTTGAATAGATGTATTCTTGTGTTAAAATGAAAATGAAATTCAGAACATCACTTTTTTCTCTCTTTGAATCCAAGAATAACTGTTTCTGCGTTTAATTTCAAATGGGTGTCTGCTTCATTCTCAGCCCACTCTACCTGTAACTGTTTGGCGTTAAGACACATCAAGCAATAATTTTTGACAATAAGCTTCAATTTACACAATTCACATAAGAATAGCTGTTTTGCAAAAACATTCTCGAGGGACATGGGCTGATGTACCCTTGATTTTTTGTTTATGTTCCCTGAGCCAGAGCGGGGAACATAAAGAAACATCGAGGGTACATCAACACATGGGCCACGAGGGACCAGTGAACAACGTATTTATCTTACCGAACACCTCCATGGTAATTTTGAACTGTTTGAAGCACGGGTATCGGATCATAGTATGGAGTACAAGACGACAAGAAAAACAAATTTAGAGTTATCTCCCTTTAATCGATTTGCATTCCCAAAACATCAGTATTTTCCGTACATCATACCTGATTCAACATTATTCGAGATAAAGAATTACTACTACGAAGTACCAAATGAGTTCGTCTTTCCCAGCGGGGTACATAGCAAATGTTATCGCGGGGTATATTGAAAATAATAGAAGAAAGCTCAGCCAATCAGAAAACGACCTTTATGTGTGAGGCAAGATAAATATTATATGTAGTACATCGATGAATGATCCTAGACAATAAATTCTCAGGTACAACACCTGTGTAAATAGTTCGGAGGGTGATTGTAGGTGGAGCATGTCTCAAGTACCCAGCTATCAGTGTTCACTTTAACAGCCGGTTAATGAACATGTCACTTATAATCGGAATACTTTTAGCGTCGACACCTCAGGAATATTGCTGCAGTTCCACACAACGTTCACACATCCATTCACATCTATTAGAAGAGTAACCTTATCATATATCGGGTCATAGCAAGTAGTGAAGGTGTACATGGAACAGATTTTCCAAAAGTTGCTGAAAATGACAGTACTTGTAAATAGGTATCAGTTCTTATAATCAATTCGAAATTTGAAAAAAATGAGAAATTCAATGGCTTAATGACGCATGTAGCAAATATTCTTCAAGCAATAACCACTTGGCCATTTGACCTCAGGTTTT